GATGAGGATGAGGAAGATGAAGAAGATCTTTTGGGCCCCGAATCTCCAGCCGGAACCCCGACAAAGGCTAAGAAACCCAGCCTCTCACCGGAGAGTTCTCTCAGCACTGCTGACAACCACGATGCGGCCTCACGTCGCAGGGTCTCGAAAGCCAAATCTGAGGCAGCAAATGCGGCGCTAGATCCTGCGCATCCTCTGCACCTTACATTACCAACCTTCCGCATGGTTGTTCTCGCGGATGAGTTACTAGAACAATTCTTTGAGTCGTCTTTCCCAGCTTCTTTCCACATCATCGAGGGGCTACCCAACACAACATCGTCAGCATCATCTCTTACAACATTCTCCAGTCTTGGGTTTGGAGCTAGGCCTCCTATTCCCCCACCTGTCGGCCCTCCAGGAGCAGGCCGTGGCTTACGCGGCGTGCTCGATAACATCGTCACGGACGGAATGCGTGTCGCCACTGAGGTCAGAAGACGGATGGAGGAGGCTCAAAAGGAACTCGAGAAGAACGCTCTGCCCGGACAGCGACCTGAAGAAGATGAAGAAGATGACGATGATCTCGGAGTTGAAGTCGGCGTGAGAAAGGGACCTTCAGGTAGCAGCACCGACATCGAACGACGATCCGTGAGGAGCTCGGACCGGGATTTATTAGATGGGGCAGATGCAGAGGCTGGCGCGTTAAGCAAACCTCAAGAACAGAGTTTACTCGATGTGAACCCCAACGAAGGCAGGCCCCGTGCTGGTACCGCGACTTCGACGGGGTCGACTGGAGGATCGGCAGTGGTAGAGTTTGAAGGATAGAGCTGTGATGTTAGTGTCACGAAATGGCATTGTAAACAACGAAATGAAATGTTCATGGTTGTCAACCATGTCCACATCGTGTAGAGCTTTTGTTTTGTTTTTTTGAGCAGGTGAATGACTGTAACCGAACTATTGGGAGGGCGGATTGGCGTAACCTGCACAGGAGCGTCAGTATGGGATGGTAGAGGGCAACGCTTCATCAAAGTTTTCAGATGTAGCTTGACGAGAAGTCTTCGATATTTGTATCTACGAGCACGGGTATTCCTGACTACTGGGAATATGAAATTTATAGTAAGGAGCTTGTTGACCAGGCACTATGCATCTGCTGAGAGGTAAGAGAATGTGACCTTCGTGCAATAAGCTTCGACTTGAAAATCTCTAGATGTTCCAAGTAACTATATGTCTCGCTTAAAAGGAAATTTGTTCAACAGGGTTTTCTTGTTTGGCATAACCCGTCACTTTCGATACTTAGTGGATAAGCGGTGGATAGGAATGAAGGAAGAGTTTAGCAACTGACCAACATATTAAAAGCTGACTTTGTGGAATCATGGCTGACATTGTACGGTGATTTTCTGTGAGTGCCAATTGAGTATTCGACTAGACCAGGGGGCAAGTTCAGCGTAGACAGGACATTTTTATCAGCACTTCAAGGGCCCAAGGAAGCATAAGTGGTTAGTCCTTTGTGGAAGTAAATCAACAGATTGTTGGCATGGCATTGGGTCTTGATATCAAAATTACTCTTCGACATATAAGGGTAACACATGTGGATATTGATGTCGATCATTGATATCTGTAAAATACCTAGGTATATATGTACTGACTTGGAATTACCTTACCTAGTGTAAAAGAATGATGCTTAAAAAACTTAGATGGCGCGACAATACCCCGCTATCCAAGAATGACATCATCAGCGCCGATACGCATGTAATCAACAACCTTGAGTACTTACCTTAGATAAGGTTATTAGTGGCAGGGGATGAGTCTTGTCTACGTCCCAGCTAAATTTGAGAGCATAGTCCTCTCAAGCAATACTTTCAAACTATTTTGGGCCGCTATACAATCAAGAGGAATCCGGTTGATGCGCTCACCTCGTTATGGCAGTCATACTCATTGTAGGAGCTACTCGTGGCTTGGGTGCCAGCATCACCAAGAAGTACGCCGAAAAGAGCGAAAACACCGTCTACGGTACGACCAGATCATCCGAGGGTCCGAAAGATTCACCCTCAGGAGTCAAATGGCTTTCTGATATCGACCTCATGCAATCTAACGCTGGTCAGAAGCTGGCCAGTCTGCTAGACCCAGCTCAGCCACTCGACTCGGTGGTGAGTAGCATTTCCAATTGCAGCAATAGGATCAGAGTCAACGTTTCACGATACTAAGGAACAAGGAAAGATTATCACAGCCGGTTACTTTGCTACAGAAGACCTTACCTGGGACAAAGGTCCAAAATGGGAGGAAGAGCAGCGGATGTATACGACCAGCTCCATTGCCCCCGTCTTTATCGTCCACCAGCTCATCCACAAAGGTCTCTTGCGCAAGGGTTCCAAAGTGGTGCTTGTATCTTCCGAGTCTGGCAGCATCACTCTGCGACATCCAAAGGAAGGGGGTGGCAACTACGCTCATCACGCCAGCAAGGCGGCTCTCAACATGGTTGGCAAGCTGCTTAGCTTGGATCTTAAGGACCAGGGCGTCATTGTCAGCATCGTGCACCCAGGCTTTATGCGAACGGAAATGACAAAAGGCGTAGGGTTTGACAAGTTCTGGGATGAAGGTGGAGGTGAGACCTCGCAAGCACTTGTTATACATGGTGTTGTGGAAGCTAACAAGAGTTTGATCAACTAGCTGTGACACCAGACAAGGCGGCGGCGAGCCTCATCAACTGGATCGACAATCTTGATATTAGCAAAACAGGAGAATACTGGGCACCACGAGGACCGCGTGAGTAGCTTCCAAAACGATTTGCGCCGTGGCATGCCAATGGAGTGCTGACCAACGATTATCTGCTTGATTAGGGGATATTGGGACTGCTGAGGTTGTCCTGGGTGAAGACTTAGCTACACCACTGCATCTACCCTGGTAAAGCAAACGGTAACGGCTCCAGTCTATCAACATCGCTCTAACGACAACGGCTGGACTGAAGCTGTTGCTGGTAGGAGGCTAGGAGCCGTCGACAAATGAGTGGATATTACTGACCGGAAATTACTGCAATTTCACCTATCGGCAACGCGCTTCGAAGCAACGTACCCCGTACAATTCTTCCTTCTAGACGAGGCAAGCCTAGGCAAGCTATCGTCTTTGCCTATTGCGGGTGACGAAATTGAAGAGTGTGGGGTTGGGGGAATCAGGGTCCTTACGTAGCAGTGGACTAGCAAAGTCACGATACTGCATCAGGTCTGGCTGCAATAATTAACCTAGCTTGGCAGATCATTAATTATGAACTTATGATCATCATACAGAATCATAAATGGTGCCCGGTGCTTTGTCGCGTTACGCAAGTGAGTGGTTCCGTCTTCTCATATGATTAGGATCGGCCGCAGGTTATGAGGCGCTGTCCCACCACAAAGAATGAGCTGCATGCTTGATTGCGACTAAAGGTCATCACGATGGATCCTGCTGTCTACGCCGAGGTTCGCATCATTCCCCCGTTCGGACGGGAGATTGCTCAAGATTTGCCTACAACAGGAAACTTACAGTCCATGCATTCTTGATGCTACTCCAAGTACGAGTTGCAGATATAGTAGGATAGATGGTGGCTCCATTATATAGCACGTGGTCATGATCCCTAGCCAAGACACCAGCCAAGTCCGGGTATTGTAATTAGAATGCTACTATTCAGGTTCAGTCTGGACCGGGCTCGATCAAGCTTTTGACTGACAAGGTCAAGGAAATGTGGAATGAAAGAACACGAGGCTGGGTTTCTGAGTGTTTGCTCTGTGCTGTGTCTCTTACTGCTCTTGTTGTGAATAGGCGTCTTGCAGGAGGGCTTGACTGACATTGGCATTAACGAGATATTGTCTAATATCTCGACCGCGCATCTTGCCTGATAATACAAGATCTCAACGGCCGGGTTGTGCATGGTAAGCCTCCAACAGAGACACCCCTGAAGTTGACAAAGAAGACGAAAAAGGAGACTGATGGAAAGTAAATTTGAGCCATCATCGATAATCGGGGCTGTTGTTAGTTGTGGAGTTTGGCTTCTTTGGCGTCAGGGGCATGGCGTTTTGTTACTTGTGGAGAAGAGGCGGCTCCTTCATTGGCTGGGCTAGGTTTAGTGATTGCCATGGATGTTTAAAGGGGTAGGGTGACCTTGTGTTCGGCCGACATCCACTAGGAAATGACAGTGCGGCCAGGATACATGCAAGCTAGGCAAGGTAAGGAAGCAATGCTAGGGATACAATGATGCTGATGCTAATATATATGTATGTGAATCCCTTAGTTTCCAAATCCATTGTTCGATCGTAGACATGCACAGTAACCCACGTAACAGTCAGGGAAATCAAACGGAGTTCCAGACGTCCTCAGAATACGGCATGGCGGCGGCATGGCTGGTACGAGGCCTGGGTGGGCCAGGCCAGCCAGGGCATCCATAAACCAGGTTGAACAATCTGGGTACCTAGGTAGGTAGTCAACCTTGCTAGTGAAAGCCTCTCCGATGTCAACGATCCAAGTCAGCTGCCGCCACCTTCTCAAATCAGGACCAGACTTTGACCCGGTACTTGAAAATTTAGGGACATGGGTGATGAAGCTAGAATTTACAAATAGTACATAGTTGTATAAGACTCAATGCTTTCGGTCCATGCTTCGACATACATAGTAGCATGCTGATGATGGGGCTAGGTTCTGGTAACTGCCAATACCTATGCAGGAGGCGTTGCAGTTGTCGGGTGCCGTTGAAATAAGGCTGTTGCAAAGTCTCAAACTGGACGATGCAAAGATTGGACAAGGACATGTTAAATCACAGCCACAGGCACAAATGTCCGTAGCTCAAGTCAGACCTTGTAGGTACCTACCTACCTTACTTTTGATAATTAGATCGGAAGCTGGACCAAGCTCGATTCAGCTCAGCCAAGGTTGACCAGACTGGCGCTGAGTTGCTTCCTCCCCAGCTCCCGTCGTCTCTACCCCAAAATCTGATGCACTAACTAAGTACCTCTAGGTAACCTTACCTTACCTGCCAGCCTGCACAAACAACTGACTTTTTCCCTGTCTGACCACATTCACCGACTGGCTTCAGCAGCCCAGACGTATATCCTGTAGAGCTACCTTATACCCTAGGCCTGGCATTTCCCCATTCGTTCTGGTCCGTACTTGCCCGGCCAAGCTTCTCAGAAGGCTCCTCATGCCTCCACCTTTCTCCCTCTCCATTGAACGTTTTGATCTTCTTTCACCCTCAATTCCACACAACGTTCACTTCTCTGGCTTGCGGCTCAAGTTGCCTCGAGCGCTCCTTTCTTCTTCCTTTCCTCCTTCTCCTCTGTCACCCCATTCACTGACACGGCCAACACAACTAAGGTAGAGATTGGCAATCCATTCCTTTCATCATAGCACCGCCGTTATACAGTACCGAGAACCTCACGAACCCTGGCAACGCAACCAACTCTTGAACAAAACCGAATTAAGGCAGCATATCGCTCACGCAGTATCCATCGTCCACCTTCTATCCTTCACACACCTCTGTTCGCTGTCGAGCCTTTTTGAAGCTTGACCCCGGAACCACTGATCTCAATCTCAAGGCCAATTCTCATTTGGATTCCACCAACCGACGGAGCGACCTTTTCATCAACAATAGCCCCTCTTGGCTCCGCTGTCACCATCGATCACAGCTCAACAAATACAGCTACTTTGTCTCTCCAATTGCAGGCACCGGAGTATCCTGTTTACAGGACTAAAAGTCAACGACACTGCTCGAAAATCCATCCTTTCTGGACCCTGATTTTATCTTCTGCTTGTTGCCCTCCACCCCTGTCTGGCAACATCGTGTATGACCCAGTGGTCAACCCCTGCCAGTCCCGCCTTTGAATAGGCCCCTGCCCAAGTTCGACAGCCGTGAGCATTGACCTGCCCCGCTAACAGGCCTATCGACGAGTCACCAAACTCGACCCCGAGTGGTTCAGCCAAGCACCTGCAAATTGAACATCCTTCATCAGCATTTTGTTGATTTCAGGCACTTGGCTTTGCAAAATACGTTCAGCAAGGACCCATTCCATCTTTTGCATTGGGGACTACCATATCAATTAGTCTCCCCGCCTCAGACAATCGATCCCTCTTGAACCTACCAATTCACCAAGAGCTTCAACCCAGGGGCATCTGCCGCTAAGACGATCGCACTACTTTCTCAGGCCAACCAGCCCCTTTCCGAGCCCTTGGCCCTTGGGCACCACGAAGGCCACTTCACCCCAGAGCTATTGACCCACCAGGTGCCTGAACAAAGTTGAAAGTTGAACGGCAGAACGGGGATTCGAATCGCGTTTGAGTGGCGTACCGTACTCTTATTGACTTGGTATGACGCTGGGTCTGAGCTTCCAGGACAGAGGAATTTAATCCATCCCGACCTACGTATTTTACCACGACCAGCTCTTTGACTTTCAACTCTTGGCGAAGTTGCTTTCGTCCTTGTTTGCGCAAGCCCAGGCTTTATTCCTATCTTTTATACGACACACGTAACGCATTGTTTTACCTGGCGTTGCAACGGCTGCCGTTTCCTCTGTTACTCTACATCGATTGGCTCCGCATTCTCTCCTGGATCTTCAAATCAGAAACACAAGCCCAAGCTTGACCCCTTTGCAATCATGTCTACTGCTCAGTCTTTTCAGTCCGGTAAGCGCCCGCCCCTTGATTTCGCTTTGATGTGATCTGCGACAACCACCCCATTCCCAAAGTTTCCCCTTCTGTTTTCACCGGGATTCGCGTCCGATAGCTGCCAAAGCTCGGCGCTTGGAATCTTGTAAACAAAGGAGACTGGATCAACGGTAATGTTGAATGGATCGCAAGTCAACTTGGCGGAACAATTCATCAGAAGCTAGCTGGTCGGTCCACTTGGCTGGCATCCATCTTGTGTCATGCTGAGGAGATTGTCTGTTTCATCTTGGCCCATCTGTCGTCGTCATTGCATGCATGCGCCCGTTTATCTGGCACCCAGCTGATAGGTTTTCTTGGAAACAGGCCACACCAGTTCTGGTCAATCTCCTGGCCTCACACTCAACTTATCTTCTAATAACCCCTTCCGCAACCGCGCACCATCTCCAGCCAGTGCCGACCTTCTTTTCCCCAGCAAACCCGCCTCTCCCTTTGATGACCCCCCAGCACGACCTTTATCGCGAAATCCATTTCTCGATCAGCCACCGGTTGATTTATTGTCACAGCCTCTTAGGTCACCTGGAGCGATGTCATCTCACTCAGACTCTAAGTCTCTTTCAGCCGAGGAAATTTTTGTATGTACTTAAGTCAATATCTTTCTCCCACTGCCTCTCAAACATGCAGGGAATGGTTTATTCTCGATGGCGTCGCCGACGATTTTTTGCACTGATATTAACTTGCCATTAAACAGAACTCCATGACTCTCGATGATGCTTCCAACGACCGAGCAAGACAGCAGGCCACTCGCCGACCGATGAACGGACCGCCTCCAAGACGCGGCGGCGAAAACCCGCCGCCTGAGAATGGCAGCCACCGCCCTTCGCGTTCCCAGGAAGAAGCTCTTCGTGCTCGAAGGATGCAAGGTTCTGGACCCCGACCGCAACAGAGCTCACCGCAACGACGTGCCCCACCACGACGTCCTCGACGGAATTCTGAGTCCTCTTTGGTCGATTTTGATGCGCGTCCAATCACAGAGGAGGAGAAAAGAATGATCGAGGCGGCCCGACGACGTGAATACGAACGACAGCGTCGCGGAGAGGGCAAGGAGCGCGGTGATAGAAGCGACCGTGACCGTGACCGCGATCGTCGGGAGCGGGGAGATAGGGAGAAGACTAGTCGCCCCAGCAGAAAGATGGACATTATTGATCAACTTGATGCCACAAGCATTTACGGGACTGGACGTACGTTCACCCCTCCCTAATCCTAGACTTCAGTGTTGCTAACACAGTACAGTGTTCCATCATGATGGACCCTTTGACGCCCTGAACCCCCACCGAAATCGCCAAAACGCGAGACGTGCGCCAATGCAAGCCTTCCCCAAAGATTCACTAAACAATTCTCTTGGAGGCGCTGGACCGCTTAATGCTCGAGCTGACCATTCAGTTCTCATGGGAAATGCCACGGATGAGGCTTTCAGAGATTTTTCTGCACCTTCAAAAGCCCGTAGCAAGGAGCCTGCCATTTTTGATGCCTCGGGCCGAGACCAGATTGTTCATGGAGATGAGTCTGTTGGCCTAGGCACCTCAACTTTCTTGGAAGGGACCCCCGCTGCGCGAAGTGCCATTCAGCGCCACCAGGCTGAACAGGCTCAGGAAAACATGGAGAGTGGTCTACAGCGCAAGAAGTCGCTTGCACAGCGCATTCGCCACATTAATAAGGGTCCTCGCGATTATAGTCAGTCAGGGCGCGCCAATGGCGAATATTCCAGAATCACCCCAGATGCCTATCCGACAGCAGCCAGCACCAGTTCAGACAACAATCCCTTCTTTGCCGAATTCGGTAAGGGCGAGGAGGGTTTCAGTGTAAGGCCACGAGATGGCTCAATGACATCCAACAGCCCTCCTGGAGCGAGACGCCCTTCTGCCGGAGCTGTCCTTGAGCGACGGGCGACAACTGATGCTTCTACAACTTTGGACGATGCCCCAGCAAAGCCTACCGGGCTTATGGGACGAATGAAGAGCTTAAAGGGACGGAAGCCTCGGCCAGAGATACCTAGCAACGGGCCCGGTGTGCCCGGAACGGCCGTTTAGTGGAGGACAGGTGCCGGGCGACTCCTTGACTCAAGTCGAAGTCCGAAGCGATGGCAGTCAAGGCAGGACAGCCTTGTGGAGAATATGAATGAGCACGCGAATGAAAGTTCGTGGGCTAATAGTCTGCCAACACGAGATCAGGAAAATGCGGCGCCAAGAGAGGCAGAGAGGTGTGCCGCGTACGCCTCAAGCACGGTACAAGAATCTGAACCATTGCTTTACGATGCTGCAGAGGTCGAAGCAAAGAGACTTGGCCAGGCACACAATTATTCAAGAAAGCGGTATGCAAATGCGACGAGATAAGGTCTATTTGGTCTCTCCAGATACCGATGAAGTTTCTATTTATTATCTTCTTTTTGTTGAGTTTGGGATGGGGCGGGTAGCATGGGTTATAGGAAATTAAGCCCACAGGTCGGGTCATTTGCTCTGTTTTGGAGATTTACATCAAGCAGGTCTGACTTGGCAGGAACCTCATGAGCTTGAGTCGTCTCCAGGTCGTCACGATGCCAGAAAGGAAGTGGGACTACCGACCGAGACCTTGGAGGTTATTATGAAGCCTTTTTTGTATGTTTTATATCAGGACTTGATGTCTGATCATGGCATCAATAAATTCAAATGCGATGTTATCGTGTGTAAACAATAACCTTGGCTCTGCCTTGATTTGCTTTAGAGGTTGTTAACCATTTCAAGAGACAATATCATTCTCAACTTTGAGTATATCGATCCTCCTGATATCATACTTAGCAAGGCTTCAAAGGAAAGCATGCAATTCATGTTTTGTTATGGCAGTATTGAGCTGGTCTGGTCGATGTCGCTTTGGGGGCTATCTTGAAGCCTATATAAACCATGAGGAGCAGTAATGCACTTGGACCTTGCATCCATAGCACCAACCGAATTATAGTGCCAGGCCACAAGCTACTCCATGAACCCACCACAAAGCCCCCCCTCACAGGCGAGCTCCCACTTTCAGCTCGAGCCAATTCCTGCGGCAATACTGGCCGATAAAGAGGTCAAAAGGCGCGATGTAATCGCACTGTTGGGAGCCTGCAAGACAGGATGCAAAGTCATTGACGAGGAGGTCATGTTCGGCGGCTTTGAACGCGGAAGTGTTGTGGGTATCAGCGCTGAAGATGAAGAGCTAGGGGTTCTGGTGAGATCAACAATCAGATAAAGCCGTTGGTTGTGTGAAAGAAACGTTGGACTAATTTTCGGCGTCAGCTTGGTCTCCAGACACTTGCACATTCACTTTGTGAAGGCGCGGTTACAAATGGCCTGCTCATCACTCCCAGGCCAGCAAGCGTAATGCTGGCTGGCTTGAGGGACGCGGTGAAGTCCGAACTCGAGGCCAAATGGTGCACAAAGGATACCATAAGGATGAAACTCAGAGAATGCCTTGAAAAAGTCATGCTGTCTTGTGTATTCGACATGAATGGTCTATGGGAGGCACTGGCAGATCTGGATTGCGAGCTGGTTGAAGAGAAGGATGATGCGCTGCAGGACCAAGGGGCAACAAATATTAGACAACATGATACAACATGTCAGGTTGACGAGATCCAGGATAGTCAGGATGACGATGATGTGGCTTTCTCCCCCATTCATCAAGCTTCGCAGCCACGGGCAGAGGAGCCATATAACAAGACGCAACAGCACCCAGACGTTATCGTCATCACGCATTTCTCATCCCTTCTGACAGGTCTATTCTTTCACCGCGAAAAGTCAGCAGCGCATGCCGCGCTTCAGCTTTTGAACTCACACCTCCGCGATCTCTCGCGCAATCTACCATCGAAACCACTTATCCTTCTACTGAACTCGACATCAGCGGTATCCTCGGGTCCAGCACTCGCAACCGTAACCGCAGCGTCACCAGCGAAGCAAAGCCAAGTTGATCCAACACTACGATCTATCTTCAACCCACCACCACTAACCGGCTACAGTGCCCGGCGCACAAAACCCAACTTCGGTCTGATATTTACGCAGCTACTGGACTTGCACTTACTATGCACAAAGGTCCCAAAGACCAGGCAGGATGCCGAGGGGGCAGTGAGGCAACTTCCTGGGGACGAGATTGAGATGGTATGGGTCGTGGAGGTGTTGTTGGATGAGCTGGGCGTCTGGGAAGGTCATACAGGAGCTAGGTCGGGAAGGGAGCAGAGATGGGCGGCTGTGAAAGTTGAAAAGGGGAGAATTGGACAAGCATTTGATGAGAAGGAGCCCGAGGCTAAAATCCCAAATATAAGCGACGTGAGGCTTGCGGGCGGAGTTGGAGGACGCAGAGTATAAGGTAATTATGGCAAGTTTATAACGAGCGGCGGAGCTATATGAAGTCCAAGTTTGGGCGGGCTTGCGATGCCCAGGTGGGTTTGGAGATACGAATTACGGTATACTTGACTCTCTGAGCAAGGTACCTTAGCTAAAATGCCTTGTAACTCTACAGAGCTCATGCAATATTTGTGGTATGGTGGTGTGCTATGACAAATTGGAGCGCATCCACAGCATCCGTTCTATTTCCGGCGCACAGCCAACCAATCATGTCTCGACCGCAAAACGACCTTCTGAAGCCTCACCGTGGGCTGACCCTAAAGCCTACATGATCTGAGCCGTGGTGCCATTGCCAAAGCCTTCCCAACCAAGATGCCCAGCTCATGCAAAGAACTGCGTAAGCTATTCACCGACCCTGAAACACAGCCTGCATATCAATCATTCTAACACCCGATGCTTTCCCAGGCGAAGCACTCGCGCAGTGTCTCCAAGAATCCGACTGTGTCATGGTTGAGCGCAACAGCGCCGCCGACTGCCTCCGCGAGCCCCTCGTCAACACCCTCCCGCTCAAGTGCCGACAGCTGAAGAAGGGCTTCGGCGAGTGCAAGCGTGGCATGGTGGATATGCGCAAAAGATTTCGAGGCAACATGCCCGTGGCATACCGTACGATGGAACAGGCCGAGGAGGGTCAAGGATACCAACTCTACGCCGGACGGCCGGCATTTGCGGGCGGTGTCAAGAAGACGGACGGAAACGAACCCATTCCTCAAGATTGGAGAGAAGTCGAGAACGAGAAGTGGAAGGCAGAACAGGCAGCCATAGAGCAGCAGAAGAAGTGAGATGGAGGTCGTCGCCTGACCGAATCAAGCCTTCTCCGATATGGGACATGTGCGGTATGGTAACGACTACTCGTGCCAGTATCTGATACCACCATGGTCCTCAAAACGCCCAAGACGATAGAAGGCAATGCTGAGGTTGAGCTGAACCGACTGAGCTGAAACAATTCGACATGACGAACGTGACGGACGAAGACTTTTGGATATACCCAAAAAGAAGAAGAAGAAGAAGAAGAAGAAAAGAAAGAGGTTGAAATTCTCACGTTCTGCCGTGTTATAAGGCTGCGATTTGCTCTACTCTACTCCCAACATTTGTACAATATCTGTATCACATATGCATCCTACATCCCCCACCTGGGTAAGTTACTATGTACTTGGCCAGTCACATTGCCAACCCAACTTACAGCTCAATCAACGTCGATGGCCTTGGACAACAGTGGCCAATTCAGGCTTATTAGCGCTCTAAATTAAAGTTTCTGGCCTGGACCTGGTTGCATCTCACCTCGCTTACCTGGGTCCGGACGGACATGTTCCCCACAACCCGAAAGCATGCGCAATTGGGCGAGGAAAATAAAGCCCATCGGTGACAAGAATTGATCAAGACTACCATTGTTCATGTGATGTAGTTTTTCTCTTATCATTCATAGCCTGAGCTCGCACCTGGCCCAAGAGGGAAGCCATCCTCGTGTATCCTGCGTCACACTTTGAACACCCCCCCTCTCAGCGCCAGGCGCGTTGCATACTGGACATGTCCTTGTGGAAAGGCCTGGCTCATTGTTTGTGGTTGGGAGGAATCGGTAAATTAGTGGCCTCTTGGTTTAATCGCTTCGCCATGGCTTGACGGGCCATTCGGCGTTTAGTTTAGATATTCTTGGAACAATTTACTCTGTGCTATTTGCTACCATTCCCCATTCCCCTTAGGTTAGTAGATTGGGTAACCTTCTTTACCTTACTACTACGTAGTACCTTATCTCCCGCTTCTTGAACCGTCTCACCACGGCCGCCTGAGACGTTCAGTTACATCTGTGTGTCGCAATAGGGATCTCTCCCTTCTCTCCTGAGCTCAACCCACTCATTCACCTGCCCCAGCGCCGAGTCAACCTGTGCCAAGGCCAGGTCAAATCAAGTACCTTATCCATCGCCTCGCCAAATATAGTAATGCGGTCTGGTCTACAACTGGCGCCGCTGTCGTTGTCGTCATAACTTCACTACCATCCTCGACCTCAGTTCGCACCGTCGCATCTATATCTCCTCTCCGATTCGTGCCGCCACAGACGATGGCCATCATGATTACCGCACCACAGCGGCGTCTACTTGTCCTTCTCTCGACTTTCTTCTTCGTATTTAGCATTTTTTATTGCTGTTCGCGTCTCGCAGCATTGACAGTTGGACCTGTAGAGGTCGAGGACGAAGTCTTGCGTCCGCAAGTCGAACTTCTCAGAGCCGATAACCCCATGTCTTATGGCATGTATAACAGACCGCGCTACGATGGTATCGACCTCATCAGGAACCTACCGAGCGAGTACGTCCCTACAGCAAAGAATGGAAGGAGGTTGGTCGTGGTTGGTGATATCCACGGCATGCTTGACCCCTTCGAGAAACTACTCAAGAAGATCGAATTCAACCCCAAGACAGACCACGTTATTGCAGTTGGCGATATGATTAACAAAGGTCCCAAGTCTTCCGAGGTCGTTGCTCGTCTTATGGAACTCAAAGCCAGCGCGGTCCGCGGTAACCACGAAGATCGCGTCATTCTTGCATGGCGCGGCCTCAGTTCTCAGCAGGGCGTCGCCGCCTACCTCGATACGAAAGATGCTGCCAAGCACAGGGGCGAGGAGGCGTACTTGAAGACAGCTCGCAGTCTTTCCGAAGCGCAAATGACGTGGCTGAGAAACCTACCGGTCATTATATCTGCCGAATCTATGGCCCTCTACTTCGTGCACGCCGGTCTCGTCCCAGGCGTTCCACTCCCTCAACAAGACGCCTGGGCTGTCATGAACATGCGCACCTTGCGGTTCCCGCGCGAAGAATTCCGTAAGAAGGAAATTGAAAAGAAACGAAAGCAGGCCGAGAAGCAGCGACAAAAGGAGCTAGCCAAGGCGCAGGAGGACGCACAGGCAAAGTTTCAGCAGCGCAGTTTCGTTCCCGGAGAAGAGGGCACCGACTCACATGCTCACGCTGCCCGCGCCGAACCCGCTCCAGCCGATTCTGCAGGTGCCGTATTGTCAACCGATGAAGCCGCCGCCGAACGCACGAACCCTGATCGCGATGTCTGGATTCCCATAGATGGCCACGAAGGTGAACGATGGACCGACCTATGGAATAGCGAGCAAAGGAAATTGCGAGGACCCGATCGTCGTTCTGTCATCTACGGCCACGATGCCAAGATGGGCTATCAGGAGGACTCATACACCTTCGGCCTCGACTCAGGTTGTGTCAAGGGTAACGCCCTGACTGCCCTGGTTATCCAGGCCAAGGAGGATGGCGGCTGGAAACACTCAACTCATCAGGTCATGTGCAAAAAGGGATGGTGGTAAGGTCCTCACAATTTCGATGATATGATACCATGCTATACAATGATGGTTTTAGGTCAATACTCGGGCAGGCGGGTTACGCATTTCAGTTAGATGGCGTTATGGGTCATGATAATGACAATGACGGGTCCTTTCTTGTCAAGATACATAGACGGGAGTTCTCACTCAAACTTAAACTTAACAGTTCATGATGTTTGTTGGATGATTCTACCAGCTTTTTTGGGCTCATATCCTCGATTTTCGTCATGTAGCCACTATCTGTTTCAATGGGCGCCTCATCCACGAGGCAAATTACAGCCAATGACTTCGCCTCAAGCTGAGGAATACTAGATGGATATGAACTATAGAAGATGTGTGGTATAAGCAACGACAACCCCCCAGCAAAGATCGTGAACAAATTATAGCCGGTTGTTCGCAGTCAGCTTCAGTGCTTTCTGCATTCCCACGTTAACACTGTCCTATTTAACTTTTTAATCATTCTCTTAAATCATTAAGCATGCAAGAGATTTAGGCGAGCTTCTCCTTGAGGATGCTCTTAAGGGTAACAGCATCAGCAGCGAACTTGCTGATACCCTCTCGGAGCTTCTCAACGGCCATCTGGTCCTCGTTGAAGTCAAAGCGGAAGAGAGCCTCATCATTGATGTAGGACTTCTTCTCGATGTCTAGGGAGGAAGCCTGGGAAGCATCAAGCTTCTTGGGAACGGGCTCATTCGAGTTCAGGAGCTCCTCAAGCAGGTTAGGCTGTAGAAATTGAAAATTAGCATACTTGATTCCTATTCGCAACACAGGTTTGATGTGACATACAGAGATGGTCAAGTAGTCGCAGCCAGCAAGCTCAGTGATCTCGCCAGTGTTTCGGAAAGAGGCGCCCATGACGATGGTGTTGTAACCGTACTTCTTGTAGTAGTTGAAGATGGTCTTGACGGACTGAACACCAGGGTCCTCCTCCTTAGAGTAATCCTTCTTGGTGGAGGCCTTGAACCAGTCAAGAATGCGGCCGACGAAGGGAGAGATAAGGTAGGCACCGGCCTCGGCAGCGCCAATAGCTTGGACAAGAGAGAACATGAGGGTGAGGTTGGTGTTGATGCCGTGGTCGCGCTGGAGAATCTCAGCAGCCTTGATGCCCTCCCAAGTGGCGGCGATCTTGATCAGAATGCGATCCTTGGAGATACCCTGTTCGCCGTAAAGCTTTAAATTTGCGTTAGCACTTCGTCTAGAGTGATACCCTGCTGCTATGGTGGCTTACCTCAATGAGGTGAAGGGCCTTGTTGACGGAAGCCTCGGTATCGAAAGAGTATCGGGCATCGACCTCAGTTGAGACCTTGCCGGGAATGATCTTGAGGATCTCCTTGCCAAACTCGACAAGAAGACGGTCGAGAGCATCATCGACCTGCTGGTCGATAGGGCCACCCTTCTGCTTGGCGTAGTCAATGGCGACGTCGATCAACTTGGCGTACTCGGCCTTCTTGGAGGCAGCGAGAATGAGAGAAGGGTTGGTGGTGGCATCCTGAGGCTTGTACTTGCCAATGGCTGTTGAAATGTCAGCTGCTGCTCATTCTCTCATATCATGCCATGTCACATCATGGCGATCATGACTCCTTATGTCATATGGGCGAAGTTGGAACTCCTGGTTAGGATAGCAGGAGTCGTGGGCTCGGGGCGCATAATGATAGGGGTGTATACTAACAGGCAAAGTCGCCTAAGAGTAAGAAGTTAGTAAAGAAGTACTTGATCGAGTCCAGGAGGTGCGGTAATTACCAGAGTCAGACACCACAGTCTATTGAGGTGGGAACAAACAAATGGTTAGCCATCAATTTCTCATACGAGACATAGACGTGGAAAGGCGAAAACAACATCTGATCACGAGGATGACCAAGAACGATGAATTGGTGAGTCCAATTAATCAGAGGTGTTGTTTATCAAGCTTAAACATGATGCCATGCTCGCTTTTGTTCGCGTTCACAAACGAGTTGGAGGGGTAATGGTGGGGTGACATACAGTGCCAGTGGCCTTGAGCTGTTCGAGAGAGGAAGACATGATGAATGGTATTGATTCGTATCACGAGAAGTTTCGTTGAAGAGATGAGAAAGTGGGATGAAAAGAAGAGAAGAGAAGAGGAATGGAAGAGAGGAAGGCGAGGGTACAACAAGAAAAAAGATTGGGGATTCCACCGAAAGTCGGGAAGGGACCTGACGTACACACGACGACTGGCGCCTTCTTTACTGTTCGTCTTCGCCCCTCACCCTCAACTCGGACTCTCTGACTTCACCCCTCCTCTTTCTGTTTGAGCCCATAGCTACGTCGACTGCCCCACTATCTTAGTATGTCATAAGGATCGTGCTTGGGTACCTTGACCGGGGCTCTCACCTCAACTGCTTCACCTACGGCCTAGCTAAAGGCTCTCATTTACAGCCGCGCCAGCCAGGAATGGTGGGAACTATCCTCCTCTATGCAATCTGAATAAGAGTACTATGTATGCTGTGGTGCTGACTTGGCCTTTCCCGTATCTCGTAATGACATTACTCATCAATGTACGTTGGCTACCTATGGGTATCAGTCATTCTATGCAAAATTCCTCGTCACTAGGTATTTCAGACAGTGACAATATCGGCAAAGCGACGTATCTTCCGCTTGTCTTGGTAATCGCTACCGCCGCTCACCCCCCAACGTTTCTACTCTCACCTCACTCCAAGCGGACAAGGCGGGCAATCAAACCCCCACCCGCCTGGAGCTCAGTTGCTCCAATGGCCCGTCGAGACCTCGCCGAGTCCACCGAGACCCTCAATGATGTCGGCAGCATCCATACCTTATGGACATAGAATGCCGTGGAGAAGTACTGCACAGTAGTAACGAAGGTAAGGAAGTTGAGCACCGCTAGGCGCCTGCATGGCGGGCCTGGTACGCTGGTTTGCAAGTTCTTCATACTTACTTATTTAGCCGCTTACTTTTGCCTGCAACTGGGCCGTGCCATTTTCAGTTTCAGCGTTTTTGGACATTATCCGCTGTTGTGTCTGGTCACTTTGAACACCATGTCACCGAAAATCGCTCCCTCAGATCATTGTTGTCGTAGATCAGTTGCATCCATTACATTGTATTAGATGCTACACTTTTGATAGCACCCGTTAAATCACTCTTCACAGCACGTGGAGGTGGTGAGTAAAAGGTTGCATGCGCTCGGCGGGGAGAAACCCGATGCTACCGGAACTCTCGTATGAGTGAGCACTTCGGAAGACAGCAAACCGATAACATGGCGTTTCAGTAAGACATCAATCACGCTTGGGCCCATAATTCTGATTGCGACTTCTGCTCAAGTCCGCGCGAATAACAAGCGTAGTACAGAGTACTTCAACAAAAACGATCCAATACTGGCCCTACGAATATTGACATTGGCTGATATTGCTCAGCGTGCTTATTTAGACATGAGCTAAACTCAATGCTGTTTGGCGTTGAATTCACTCATCGCGTTGCAAGTGCTTGTGCTACTGTTGCTCACCTTTCGGAAGATCAAGCCATATTTGCTGGAAGTTGGTATTTATGAAGCATCTAGTAACGACTTTTTTCTATTTCTCATGCTTGTAACTAATACATAGATAGTGACTGCCAATCCCATGACCACCCCAGGACACCATTCTCTTCCCTAGTTTTCGTGCTTGAAGCTTCATCTGTCAACCCCATTTGTAACATATTTGTAACCAAGATCTTTGCTCCATAATCATCGTCAACGCCAATCTTGAAGCCGGGGGCTGCTTAGTCTTCAGTGATATCTCCATACTCCCACATGCCCAGGCGCTGGTCCTTTGCCTGGCTCTCAACCTCTTTAAGGTGCTTGAGGGTAGACTCAAACGCCTTGCTACGTTCCCAAGCCTTGAGCTTCTTAGGAACCATGCCGTACCCACCGGCAACAACTTCCTTGTTGATAGAGTCATTGGGTCCGGGAAGTTCTCCCGAGGATCCAGTGTCATACAATGTGACATAGCTCAGATTCTCCTTGTTGTCAATAAAGTCGAAGTTGGCAACAAGTCGCTTATTCTCAGTGAGTTCGTAGATGAAACCGATAGCATCTTCGAAATAATCGGCACCGGTAGGAAGTTGCACAAATGAGAGAGAGGCATCAATGGCCTGAGCCTTCAACTTCTGCGCACCAAACTTGGGCTGATCCAGTGCTCGTAGGCTAGACCAGGGGACCTTCTCACTGTTGCCGTAGTCGATATAAACAACTTCAGACTTCTTGGCACTGCGGTCATTGGCCCTCACGCGGGCTCGGTACCACTGACCATCAGCAGAGAATTTGGCTGAGACGTACTCTCCGGTCTTTGGGGCATCCTTAAGAGGGTTGTTGTTTTTGGAATCAAGGTGGAATCTTCGGAACTCGCTCATCAAGCTCTCAAGAGCGGCTGTTCCTTTGCCAATCTCTTGGATCTTGAGTTTACCGTTAGCGTCGATGTTGGTGATGACAACATCGCGGTAGTCGGTGGGCTTCTTGTCGATAGAGACTTCGGTTTCAGGGGCAGTTTCAGCAGTGTTCTCTTCCTCGTACTCCTCGTCCTGTGAGGGGTCCCAATCTTGCCATAAGTTCTTCCGAGCCTCCTTGGCCTTCTTCTCAGCGGTGAATAGCTCAGCAGCGTTGCCAGACTTTTCCGCAGAATAAGCGTGAACAGATGCGAGGCCTTCTTCGACCAAGACCTTGGCAAAGTTTTCTCGGTTGATATAAAGGTCGCCGATGAAGCCACCAACCTTGTCCATATCATGGATATCTACCTCACAGTCGCGCTGGTTGCATCGACGATTGGCAAGATCGAGAGACTCCTTGCCGAAAGGCTCACCACCTTCGCCATCGGCCCTGGGAGCTCGAGGGGCACGGATTCCTCCCAGAACCATTGTGAGTTTTACACTCTCTCGTGGAATCAAGATAGTGAACCTAGAACCGGCTTTGCAGAAGTCGACAATAGCAGGCACCTTTTTTTGTCGTTGTAGGGTAGCCAGCATGATTTTGGCCTTCTGTGTGTTCTCGGAGAGGTCGGTGTACTGCTTTGCCTTCTGAGGCTTGCCTGACCACATACCCTTCTTCTCCTCCTTAGCCTTCTCTTGGGCAGCGAGGAGGTCATCGTAATTAGGGGCCCGGTCAGTGTCATCCTTGCGATGTCGGATGACTGACGCCCATCCGTTCTCAACCAAGAGAAGGTTGATATTGGTATTCTTTTCGGTGACAGTGGCGACTTCACGAGCCTCGTATCCTTCTGTCGCGGGTTTGTTACCATCAATGCTGATTCTCACATGCTTTCCAATCAGTTTTTGACGAAGAAACTCCTTGGCTTCTTCTCGGAAAGGGCTTTCTGAAGGCTCTGTAGTACGGGGCCCTCGGACACTGCTGATGCTGATGCGCTTCTCTGTTGTTCCGGCCTTGTTTCTTACGAGAATGGTATCGGCACCAATGACCTTGGACACAATTGCGTCCTGATTTCCGCTCTCAGTCTTAGCAACATGGTGTTTGTGAAGCCGGAGCTTCTTGGACTGTGCCTGCTTTTCAGCAGCACGGAGAGCAGCCATTCTTTCACCTAACATAATAGAATGGAAGTCATTGCATCGTGCAAGACCTTCTTGCAGCAGAAACTCGGCGATATTTCCTCGGGGGTGGATAAGGGTGGCAACGAGCTGCCCTTGGGCGCTAGCACCAACGATCTCGACCTTAATCTTACGCTGGAGCAGCCTTGACTCAACAAATGATCTAGCCTCATTTCCGTATTCCTCGGCCGGCTGGGTGGTACCAGTAGAGGGAAGTGTGCGCTCGGTGGCAGGCGTTCGGATACCTGCAATCAGTGTCATGGGCTGAACGTGCTTCTTCTCGGAGAGCAAGAGTCGCATTAATACGCGGTCGCCACTAAGAACTCGCTCAACAATACCATCCACAGTCTTGCCTTTCCATTCCTTCAAGAATTCAGGGCCACCGAGATCATTTTGAACGTCAATAATACCACCGACTCCGACGTGGAGTCCCTTGTCCTCAGCCTTTGCCTTATTTTCGAGCTGGCGAAGTGTCTCAAGGCGGTCAAGCACCTCATCCGACTCCTCCTTACGACCAGCATCCTCGCGGACCTTCAGCCAGCCAGCCTTAACAAGCTCATCAGGCAGATTGGTTCCATCCTGAAGCTGGGCAGTGCCAAATTCTCGACCGGAAGTAGGGATTGTGTACAGAACGGTTGCTTGAACGGGCTTTCCGACGACGAGGTTTCGAAGATACTCGCGAGACTGGAAGGCGAAAGGCTCGTCACCTTCGCGCTTCAAGTGAGGGGCCGTGACATAGGCAAGAGACAGGGTCCGTTCATTGTTGGGGTTCTTGGGGCTTGTCAATATCAAAGTGTCACCACTAAGCACGCTCTTGACATTGCCGATAAAGGTTTTGGACATTGTGGCGGATACAGGAGGACGACGCGGAAAGACCTGTTTGATTCAAGCTCATGTTAGTCGAATGCAGAGAATTAAAGTGCAACGGCGATTTTGACAAGGCACAGGAAGAACGCTGGAAAACAGACGGCGGGACAAGAGACAGTGGAGATTGTTGCAGTGGGAGCTGTCACAGTCCAAGAAGTGTCTGAATGGAATACCAAGCTAAGCAGACCTTCAATTGAGTTTCAAGCACCCTTGAGTGCTGCCACCGCCAGATGACAAGTAATCACGACATGATGTTACGGGTTAAGAAGATATTTCACACGTACCTGGGGATAGGGAGGTTGTGTTTCTTTTGGAAGATCGAGCCTTATTGAGAAACCAAGTTGAGCTCAGATAAGGAAAGTCGAAAGCCAGGAGAGGGGAGAACAAGAAAGAAAGAGCTTCATCTGAGCATGTGGAGTTGAAATTGCGTGAGGTCCCTTATGGCAAGGTGGCCCCAAGGCCAAGTTCGCCGCTAAAGTGTTGAATGTGGAGACAAACTCAGGGGTTTATGGCGGATGGATGTCCCTGCAGCTAGTGACCGCGGGGTACCAGCACAACCTACTTCAATAGAAAGGGCAGCTGTCTCCTTGGATGGCTTCAGCTAGGGCGAAGCTTTACCGAAATGGCTAGGAGCCCGGTAGCTCCAGAGTTTGGAACTACGGCAAGGTCGTGTAGGCGGAGCTGTCACAGATTTGGGCCTCTTACAATGTGATCAAAATGTCAAATTGATAATTTCTTGTTAATAGAGATAGGTGGTGCATGGTATAATAGTATGTCTGAGACTATCTTAAGGATGGAGCCATGGACTTCTCTCAGTGGATTCAAAGTGTCTTCGAAGTTCGAGCCCCTCATTATGGCGACATATGTACATAGACTATCCAACATGTGGGCAATTTCAACGAACATGTCGCTCAACTTGAACAAAGGTGTATGTGAGTTGACACCCTGCATCGAAAGTCACTAGCTGATAGTACTTGGCTTGATTGTATTTAACTATTTTCCTTTGCGTCTCATTGTACGGTAGTGGAGTACGTGCCACGCCATACTGTTCATCACCTTACAGCTTCTTGATCCAAGCAATAAAGTTCATGTTATTGGTTTCCTTAGTTGGAGATTCCGATGACACCTGATAAGCGATTAGCACTAGTAAATAACTAGATGTTGACTTAAGCATACCGCAAGCAGGTCGGGGACCAGCGTTACCAGTCTTGAGGGACTCCTCGTTATCACCCTTGCCGAGATCGTCGGTGCCGGCGTGGACAACGACGGTTCGCTATGCCATTGTTAGTGAAATGTTGGACGTGGGCAGAAATCGTCTTACACCGATGATGCTGTGCGGGCCAATCAGCTTGATAAGAGAGTCGGTGACAGAGCCCTTAGCATTTCCCTGGCCATCGGTCTCCAGGTTTCCGAGGTCTCCAACGTGACGGGTCTCGTCAGAGGGAGCACCGTGGGTCTTGTTGTGAGGGTTGACTGGCATTAACCGTGTTAGCGTGTTGTGAACAAGAGCAAGGCTGAAGATCTGTGACGGGAGATCTTCCCAGGAACGGGCCCTTCCGTGAAACCGAAGAAGCCGGCGGTGCATCATGCAGGAACAAACTCACAGTGAGGACCAGCGGAAGTGCATCCGTTGGTGTTATCACCGAAGGTGTGGATGTGGAATCCTCGTTTGGCGTTGGGATCGTTACCGGTGATGTCCCAGGTGATGGTGGTAGGGGCAGATTCGGACTCCTGCTCGAAGATGACGGTGCCGGAGACCTTAGAGTCACCGCGGAGAACGCTCACTGCGAGGGGCCGTGTTAGCCAGCTTCAACGCGTATGATTGTAATACATGATGGCATCCTCCCCACTGGTGATGGCGCTGAGAGCTAAGCAGTTCTCCAACCTTGATGGACACAGCATTGACAGTTGAGTCATGGTGAGGCCCATCCAGGGACCTTCGATTATCATTCAATGTTCCTCTTGGGGCAGATACAAGCCCATCAAGGTACATCGAGTGTGAAATCCGTCATCTCGTTGGACGAGGAGGTCTGGGAAACTCGCTCAAACCAGCTCGAAGCCCCTCACTGTCACCCGCGGGACATGGGTGATGCCATCTATAAAAAGAGCCACCCTCTGTATGTGAGCGGTGGCTTGGTGACGGGAAGTCTTACCAGCCTTGACCATTTTGATGAATTTTGTTCTTTTGTTGGACGAGTTTAGGTTAGGGAAGCAGTTGAAGATTGAATGATGATGCAAGTGGAGAGGGGAGCAAAGAGGAGTTTTTGAGGAAGAGTCGGGGTCCGAGGCGGCACGACCTCCGAGCTTCTGAGCTTTCTACCTCTCGCCAGCTTCAACCTCTTTCCGCTTCATGCGCTGTGCTTCCCCACTCTTGGACTCCCAAAACCCACTGAGTTGCCCAGCAGCGTTCTTAGCCAATCCCTTACAGTCGTCACCAAGCTCTGGCAAGCTACGGGACATCTCAGCGTCTCATGAAGCTTAGCAATACTGAGGTGGGGTTGCCGTTAAGAACTGGACCCCGCTCCGTCACACAGTCGTCATTTTACCTAGCCCCAAATAGGGTTGGCAAATGAGATTACATCATTAATGGAATCGGCTCCTACAGTAGACATCTAAGCCGATTTTCGGAGTTATTTGCTTAGACGCTGCGTTTCATGCCGCGGATGTGCACTTGCGCAGTATTGGAAATCAGATGCAAATATGAAGGCGTGGAGTGGAGCCTGACCAGGGATATTTCACTGCATGATGTGGAATCAATGTTGTGATAATATCATAAGTAAGCCTCATGGAGCAAGAAAGCACATAACGTAGAGGCAATGTGCCAAAATAAAACAGTCCAAGGTCTACTAAAGCTACATGAAACCTACCAAGTCCTTTATCAATTAAGACAGGTAGGTATCTTAAGTTTTTGCCTTCACTAGGGAAGATCCTCATACCCATGATTATGGTCAATTTTTACAGCAGCGTATCATATTGGGGATCGAGCGGTTACCTGCTTCAGAATACAAGACAATAAGCAGTCAAGATCCCCTAAGGAAACAACAACGAAAGAGACATGGTGTTAGAAGTCAGTTAAACTTATCAAATAAGAATGTATTATTACCCTCCAGCCCGGTATATTTGGTCATCTCATACGGAGGCAATCCATTTACTATTGTCGGCTGTACCTAATGTACTCTGATAACGCGTCTACCTCCTCTTTAAAATACAGCATATTACTCTTTCTTTTCCTTTCGAGGTCTTTCTTATTTTTCTGTATCGCCTTCAGCTGCATCTTGCCCATCACAAGCAGATCAATCATCCCGAGAGACTGTCAGATGCAACCCATGACTTTTTAGTAAGTTGAATGGATCTTTTGGAGAGTCAAATACGGATATCAGCTTCAGAAACGAAACGAGCTGCATGATGGCGCAGTCGCGAAAGCACTACGCTTCATTGTGTAACTTCATGTCTTGAGCATCATCGATCCACCGAGTGTGCAATGGCGGTCGAATTAGCTCTTTGACAAGAACCATTGCCAGTGTTATTGTCTCAAAGGACGGGTCAAATTTCGGGTCATCTTCAAAGGGTGACAGCACCCAATGGTAGAATTTTCGTTTTGTCGCCGAGAAACTTCGCACGATACTCGATAATACCGTTGCTGATAGCATCGAAGTCCTTCACCTTGCGTTTTCGAAAGTCTGTAAGCAATTCGCGAAGTCCTTCAACGTACTGATCATGTTGTTCTGCCTCGCAGTTGCCATAGGCACCAAGTTGAAGGAGAATTTGATCATCTATTGCCCCTCGGCATGTTAGCGTTCCCTCCACTGGCATGCGCCCTCGCTTGTTTTTGGTTGTGTGTTTCGTGGATCATGATAGCACGTACCCGGAACCTGCATGTTTTCGAAATGCTGGAATTGGCACTCGCTGCCTCTAGGGCAAGCTCCTTCAATGAGCTGGTCAGGGCATACTTCCCTTGTTACGTCGATCTTATTGCTGTAGGTCAAAGAGCGCAATCCCCCCGCCACCGAACCGCTGTACTGAGGATGAAAGCGATAAGCCCTAAAGTATTGAAGAGGCGTCTCATATGGGACGAATGTGGTTTTGTCGATTTTCTCACAAACTCGCAGTGCCTTTTGGGCCTCGGCCTGTAAGGAGTTAGCTTTGCAACCCAAGAACAGACCAAGTTTGTCTACTTCTCGATGCGTTTCAGATTCCGTATCTCCATCACCGGTTGAGATCGGCTGAGTGATTGGAGTTGTCGTTGCCATGCCCTGCATGTCAGTATCGCTTGTTTCTAACACTCCATGATCGAGTGGTGCATGAAAAGGCGAAGAATGCCAGGAAACAGGGGACTGTGGATCTGGTAGACGAATGCCGACATGCGTTGGCTCGTAGTCATCGGTATCTTCCTCCTCGCTCGAAGTATCGGCCTCTTCCATTGCCACATCTTCTTCGGCCTCTTCAGCTCCATTCATGGCAGGATCGCCAGATATGTTGACTGTATTGTGTGTGATGGAAGATCTTGTCGCTAATGCAGAGTGGCTACCGGGTACAGTAGTCTCTTTTGTCCTATGATTCTCAAGCTCTCGAAGTTCACCTTGAAGAGGTTCGTCTATCGTTTCCTTGTTATTAGTCGACTCAATGCTCGAGGCTTCGTCCATCGAGGCGTCTGGCTCAACTTCATCGCAAGAGAGATTCATTTTTTCGTTCTCTGCAAGTCCAGTTAATGTTTCTTTTGAGTTCGTCTCTTGAGAGGACCTCTGAGCTAATTCAAGATCAGTATAGAACACGTACAGAATCAATTATGCTAACCATTTGTCACCATATCTAAGCTGTCCCTCTGGAAATTCTCCAGCTCAGACTCGTTCGGCGTTGACGGGTTCAACTCATTTTCTGCAGCATCTTCCTTCAATCGCTCTTCTTCAGCCAAGCTGTTCTGAATCTCCTTCTCGAGTCTAGCGGCTTCAGAGTATAGATGCTTGAGTTGCTCGGCCTGTGCCCTTCGCCGAGCTTCAAGAATAGGCAGGCGTTCGCTGGCAACTCGAGCACGCAGCGAGGGTCTTGCTATCACGGATTGGTCTCTCGCTTTGGGCAACTTGGCAATAGCATGTGGAGAATGGTGCACACTTGACGCCGGGCTACCTTGAACCACTTCGGTATTTGTCGATACAGCACGCCTTACAGCAGGTGCTGGCGGGGTCGGAACGTCGACGCTACCCTCCTTTGAAGGCGATCCAGATTGAGGCAAAGGTGAATTATTGCCGGACTGTTTTGCCTTCTTACGAGCCTCGGCCTCGGCAATTTTTCGCTTCATATCCTCAATCTTTTTGTTCATACTCTCAAGATCATACATGCCATTAGCACTTGTGGTGGGAGTCCCTGCAGTCTTTGGGCTAGACGCAGCGCGACGAGACGCACTGTCTGGCAGAGCCGGATGATCACGGAAAGATGCTGTTCTTGAACCGGGTGTCATAGGCCGCTGTATTGACGAAGGCCGCAACTCAGGAGAATCAATTTCCATCTCGGCGTCGTCTTCATCGTCGCTCACATCGATTAGGAATGGACGAGACTCTCGAGTCTGGCCAAACGGGCGCTTATGAGACATGGCCGTGGAATTTTCGTTCAAGTCCGCTGCAACAGGTCGTTTGCGCTGGTGAGGAACAGGAGAGGGTGCGTTTGATGACAGGAATAATCCAGGGATAGAAGGTGCCGTTGCTGGATCCGCAATTTCAACATTGACTTCTGTTTGCTCATCAATATTCATGGAATCAGCACGCGCAAGACTTTGCGACCTGCTGGTTTCAGTTACTGGCAGAGGTAAGTGAGGCTCTGAGGGTGTATGGGCTTGGGGCGCCGCCTTCGCGTTTGCCTCCCGTGCTTTTATCAATGCCTCCATCTTTTGTTGGATCAGCTTCGACTTCTCCGATTGACTCTTAGTCTTGTCTGTTTTCGTGTTGCCCGGCAATAAGGACATCGGATATGTAGGCTTAGCGTTATCAGTGTCTCCGACTGTTGTTTTGGAACCTTTGGCAGCCAATAAACGGGCTATACGATCTTTCCGTTCTTCAGACTTGTCTTTCATCTGCTCCACGCCCCTAGGCCCAGTGGTGGCCGTGCTTGCTACCGTTGAAGGACTCTCTTGGTCGAGGGTATTACTCGGTACTTTAGCAACTTTTGACATCGACGGGCGTTTTGCTTCTCCTTGGTTTGCGGTAGTGGCTTCCAAGTCAAGGCCCATCTCCTCAAAAAGCTCATCCAGCAGTGCCCGATCAATTCCTTCTTCGATATAGTTGTGATATCGAACATTGAGTGGCCAGAGGTGTAAAATCGCCTTTTCAGCCCTTTTCTTAGATTCTGAGATAATTGAATCTATATGCCTTGTGTCAGGCCTCGGGCTTGAGCTGTACTCGCCGCCATTATCATTCGTGGTCTTCATGACTGTTGCTGACTCCGTCATTTTAAGGTCATTGGCAACGCGTGAGTTACCTGGTCGGAATTAGCATCACCACAAAGTACTAAGAAACTAGACATACGTGTATTTGACCCGCCGTTTTCCGAACCGTTGGATTCTATTTCACGGGGGGAGAGATACGGCGAGTATGAGCCGGAACGTTCGCGACCGAGTTGCTTTGAGTTCGAAGCTCGTTTCTCGGCATCGTGGTTGTTTTGCAGGTTCTTGGTCGTGTGATGCTTGGCAGCTGTAGAATCTGGCGGTTGGGAGCCTTGATTCTCGGCATCGGGACCATCTATCCCGTTGGGCTCATAGATATCCTCGAGTTCGCCTTCACTGAGCTCACCTTCTTCCATTTTATCCACATCCATTGCAATAGTCGACCGCGAGTTGTATGTTATCGAATGGCTGGATGCGTCGTTATCATCGGGCTTTGTCGTCACACCCGTTGTCATGGCACTGGTCGAGTCTATTTGAGTATCGGGAATTTTCTGAGGTAATGTCGGTTGCCAGTTCGCAGTGTCATGCGAAAATCTCATTCCTAAACCTGGAATGGCAGTCTGATTATACTCATACGCTTCCGCAACTCCCTGGCCGTGAGCCGGTTGAGTCCCAGCTGCGTCGTTATGATAAAGAGCAGGATTATACGATTCATTCGCTGAGTACGCGTAGGGCTGCGAGGTTTGGTAGCCCTGGGCCGCACCATGGCCATACACGTACCGGCTCATTTGTGATGAATATTCTAAGTTTTCGCGGATCAAAGATGACGTGCCCGATCGCATCAACGAGAAAATCAGATGCTAATCCAAGCTTATGGTCAAGCGTTGAAGCCTTCGGGGGTGGATAAGTCGGGAAGAGGGTCAATTTATTCGTTGTGATCTCAATATGCAAACCCCAAGTAGTAAAGTTGCAGTTTAAAATCGAGAGTTCGTGATGAGTTCATAACAGTCAACACCGTGATTTTTTCTTTTCGTACGTTGACTGATCTGCTTGTCGAAAGGTTTCGTTGGCAAGCACCCCTAGACGTGATAGAGTAGGTAGTCCATTGAAGGAATAAAG